AAATATAAATTTGAAAATCTGAATTTGCAGAAATATGCAATGCTAATGATAAATGATAAATAACATGGCAATTCAAAAAAGTTCACTAACTAAACTCCCAAGTTGTGTACTTTTGAACATAGTGTATTAGATTTCTCCTTGAAATAAAAATGTCTCAAGTGTGCAATATCTCGAAGAGTGACAGAATATTTTAGCAATTGTGTAAATGTTGTGTTCTTTTTTTCTTTTTCTTTTCTTTTTTTATTTCGTATCGTTGTTTTTAGCAATTTTTATAAGCAAAATTAGAGCATACTAGGTTGTCAGATGACCATATGTATTGTGCCTGTATTTCTCGTACTTGAAAAGTTCTTTTTGCTCGTGATCTTTTAAAGTTAATTGACAGCCTGATGAACGGAAAAAACGAACGATTTCCTTCCGTCATTTTTCTTGGATGGTTGAGAAAGAAAAACCAGTCATGTACATGTAGCTTGCAAGCTGTATTGAATGTGCCTGTATGTCCGTGTTAATCAATTAATAAATTGTTATTATTTTGATCTGCTTGCATTTTTTCTGGCACCCTCGCACAAAACCTGACTAAAACTGACCTGCTTCCTTGTTACTACTAGTTTTTTTTTTTTTTGCGATTTTAAGTAAAAAAAAAAAAAGAAAAGGAATAATTAAAAAAAATATCCAAGTAATATTCTGTGGTGAGTTGGTTTGATTTTATTTTTAGTAGATTCCTTCTTTTCCTTTTCTCTTCTCAAATAAAACAGTAGTCTCATTAAAAAGGGTGAAAATGTTTTGCATATTGTTCTTTAAACAGAAAATGTTTTATTTTTAAATTGTTAATTAAAATAAAACTTAAAATTAAACTTTCTGAGATGTTTTGTTAGTTCATTTTCACTCTCTTTTGTAATATTGATTCAACTTAGGTAATCTCAATCTAGTAGAACAACTCTGTTAATTAGATCATAGGTATACTTCAAATTAATTGATATTTCACGCTTCAGCTTCTTTCCCTTTTGTTGAATTTTGAACGTTGCTTCACAGTAACTTGCCTTGTAATATTTTGCCGTTGGCTTTCAATTTTTAAAAGTGCAATTAAAGCTGCCTTTTGAATAATGAAGTCACAGTTACAGGACGATGTCGAGGCATCAGTCTTTAGAAATCAAAAAACGATTTTTAGCGAAGTAGTTTTCTCTTTTCAAAAGAGCATGCTTTGCACAATAATTTTTACTCACTGCCCTTCGTGACTCGAGCACAAAAGGAAAGGGAAGAAAAAAGTTATTCCCTCTTTGTCAAAAGAATCTCTCAAACAGGTAAGTCAATTTTCGCAAAATGTCGGTAATTTATTGTTCCTCCAAAATATTTGCTTACTTAATTCTTCTCTTAGCACGTAGAAATAGAATTTCGACTGTTCTTTCAATTTAAAAGTAGATTTGTAAAATAATGAATGTATACTTTGTTCGCTTATTTCATTATACACTATAATGCATGCATGTGTGGGAGAAGAGAGTAGTACTATTAAAAATAACAAATTGCACTTTGCTATTACAATTATAACGATGAATACGGATATTAGACTTAGTTCCAAATAAATAAATAAATAAATAAATCAGTGAGTTATGGAAATTTATATTCCACGGATGAAAGAGCGAAATAAATTTCCAATCGGTAAACAAATAAATTCTCCACAAACGAAGTAAAAATAAATACTCCTAAATCGAGACAAACATCACTGTTGTTCAACGAACAAAATATCTAAATAAAAATTTGCAACAACTCTCGCAGTAAATCACTCACTCGTCGCAGCGTTCAGTCGTAAAATAATTCGTAAATAATAAAAAAATCGTGAATAATAAAAAAAAAAAAAAAAAAAAAAAA